AAATACCAAAATGTATGTTTGGTATCAGCATTTTCTTAGCTTTGACCACTGGTTTAATGTAACTAGGTACATTTACTAAATTACTTTACTACAGTGGCTTTGGAGATTGGAATTAACCATTTAAATATCTAATAATTGATAACATATATAACACAGATTAGGCTACCTAGCAGTATTTTTGCTGGCATTCAACATGTAATTCTTTTATTTTTATCTTTTATTTGACATGTTGTATATCTTATATGAATATAATATCTTATTATAAATGACCTTACTTTTTTATTCCTATTATTATATCTTTCATTATTTTTCAACAACTGTCACCAAACTCAATTTACCTCGAAAAGTATTTCCAATGAGCTCCACTGTCACCAGCTGCAGCATAAACACATTAATGCATCAATAATAGTGCTTTAACTTTGGGTATTTTAATCATATATTGATGCTTATACTTTGTTTTAAGAGGTTTTAAATGCAGGACTTTTACTTGAGGCAGAGTAAATTGAGATAGAGGTATTTCTATACACAGGGAATATGTGAGTTTGTGCCGACGTAGACCTTTCTGTTAGTTGCAGTTGCATAATTACGAGACAAAACAAAGAAATTGTACTTGACACCTATCTTCCAACAGCTTCATTATCTATTGTCCTTTTCCCCTTCCCCCCCCCATTTTGACCAATCTGCCAGACGTTTTAATCCGGACTGGTATCAGTGGGAGGTCAGAGACATTCAAATGTAAAGTCTCTGTGTCCCCGTACTCAAGTACTGTACTCCAGTATCATTTTGAGGTACTTTAACTGAGTATTCCCATTGTATACGGCTTGATACTTCTACTCCACTTCATATTGGAAGAATCATTCCCTTTACTTCACTACATTTGATCTGTTTACAGAATCAGATTATGAATAAGAAATATAAATGAACGTATTAATTATAATGTATTTCTGTGATTTAAGATAACTGGAAGTCAGCTCCACATTTACTAGAAGCAGAATGTAAATGATAAACACATTAATCATCACTAATTAAAATCCAATCTAATTTAAAGGGGCCCTATACTTGTCATTTTCAAGTTGATATCAGTATTTAGTGTCTCTACTTTAAAGAGTCCTCTCCTGCTGATGTTCAGGTGTATATCAGTGTCTCTACTTTAAAGAGTCCTCTCCTGCTGATACTCAGGTGTATATCAGTATGTAGTGTCTCTACTTTAAAGAGTCCTCTCCTGCTGATGTTCAGGTGTATATCAGTGTCTCTACTTTAAAGAGTCCTCTCCTGCTGATGTTCAAGTGTATATCAGTATGTACTGCTTCTACTTTAAAGAGTCCTCTCCTGCTGATGTTCAGGTGTATATCAGTATGTAGTGCTTCTACTTTAAAGAGTCCTCTCCTGCTGATGTTCAGGTGTATATCAGTATGTAGTGCTCTACTTTAAAGAGTCCTCTCCTGCTGATGTTCAGGTGTATATCAGTATGTAGTGCTTCTACTTTAAAGAGTCCTCTCCTGCTGATGTTCAGGTGTATATCAGTATGTAGTGCTTCTACTTTAAAGAGTCCTCTCCTGCTGATGTTCAGGTGTATATCAGTATGTAGTGTCTCTACTTTAAAGAGTCCTCTCCTGCTGATGTTCAGGTGTATATCAGTATGTAGTGTCTCTACTTTAAAGAGTCCTCTCCTGCTGATGTTCAGGTGTATATCAGTATGTAGTGTCTCTACTTTAAAGAGTCCTCTCCTGCTGATGTTCAGGTGTATATCAGTATGTAGTGTCTCTACTTTAAAGAGTCCTCTCCTGCTGATGTTCAGGTGTATATCAGTATGTAGTGTCTCTACTTTAAAGAGTCCTCTCCTGCTGATGTTCAGGTGTATATCAGTATGTAGTGTCTCTACTTTAAAGAGTCCTCTCCTGCTGATGTTCAGGTGTATATCAGTATGTAGTGTCTCTACTTTAAAGAGTCCTCTCCTGCTGATGTTCAGGTGTATATCAGTATGTAGTGTCTCTACTTTAAAGAGTCCTCTCCTGCTGATGTTCAGGTGTATATCAGTATGTAGTGTCTCTACTTTAAAGAGTCCTCTCCTGCTGATGTTCAGGTGTATATCAGTATGTAGTGTCTCTACTTTAAAGAGTCCTCTCCTGCTGATGTTCAGGTGTATATCAGTATGTAGTGTCTCTACTTTAAAGAGTCCTCTCCTGCTGATGTTCAGGTGTATATCAGTATGTAGTGCTTCTACTTTAAAGAGTCCTCTCCTGCTGATGTTCAGGTGTATATCAGTATGTAGTGTCTCTACTTTAAAGAGTCCTCTCCTGCTGATGTTCAGGTGTATATCAGTATGTAGTGTCTCTACTTTAAAGAGTCCTCTCCTGCTGATGTTCAGGTGTATATCAGTATGTAGTGTCTCTACTTTAAAGAGTCCTCTCCTGCTGATGTTCAGGTGTATATCAGTATGTAGTGTCTATACTTTAAAGAGTCCTCTCCTGCTGATGTTCAGGTGTATATCAGTATGTAGTGTCTCTACTTTAAAGAGTCCTCTCCTGCTGATGTTCAGGTGTATATCAGTATGTAGTGTCTCTACTTTAAAGAGTCCTCTCCTGCTGATGTTCAGGTGTATATCAGTATGTAGTGTCTCTACTTTAAAGAGTCCTCTCCTGCTGATGTTCAGGTGTATATCAGTATGTAGTGCTTCTACTTTAAAGAGTCCTCTCCTGCTGATGTTCAGGTGTATATCAGTATGTAGTGTCTCTACTTTAAAGAGTCCTCTCCTGCTGATGTTCAGGTGTATATCAGTATGTAGTGTCTCTACTTTAAAGAGTCCTCTCCTGCTGATGTTCAGGTGTATATCAGTATGTAGTGCTTCTACTTTAAAGAGTCCTCTCCTGCTGATGTTCAGGTGTATATCAGTATGTAGTGTCTCTACTTTAAAGAGTCCTCTCCTGCTGATGTTCAGGTGTATATCAGTATGTAGTGTCTCTACTTTAAAGAGTCCTCTCCTGCTGATGTTCAGGTGTATATCAGTATGTAGTGTCTCTACTTTAAAGAGTCCTCTCCTGCTGATGTTCAGGTGTATATCAGTATGTAGTGCTTCTACTTTAAAGAGTCCTCTCCTGCTGATGTTCAGGTGTATATCAGTATGTAGTGCCTCTACTCGTATAAGCGTAATAGGGCCTCTTTAAATAACTACTGTACCAAAGTGTTAAATAACAATAATTCAGATGAAAAAGCTTTTTATAACATAATAAAAACATGGAAAAAGGACAGCGAGTATCTTCGTACAAGGCCTTACATTTTAGACAAAGGCAAGTTTAATTAGAACTGATCACACACAAAAATAAAATACTCTTACAAAATGATAGTGTTAACATAAATTGCATCAGTCAGCTATGAGAGTTATAGTCCTGCTAGTGGATCATGCTATTAAAAAAACAAAGCGCCTCTCTTGATAAAAACGGGTCGTGTTTTTGCGTGTAGTGTCGGAACAGAAAGCGTGTGCACTGGACTGTAAATGTGTTAGAAAAGTCTCGTTAAACACACATCGATCTGCTCGTGTGCAATTTCATTTTTTTCCTACTTAAGTTAAAAGATAAATTACAGGTCGTCGGATCCACACATATGAACAATATCTCGTTACTGTACAAAGCACCATCAGAGGACACTTCACTTTGCATACACATGTCCACATACATCGATTATTTTTTTAAGTGTATGCAAATGTTAAGAACAGTCCACGGTCATTAGAGATTGCTAGACAGGCAGCATCTTTTTGAAAACATTCAAGACTTTCATTTTTAATACAAAACAATCCCTCTTTTTAGAAATAAAGACATCACTGGTTTTATCGTTTAGCGAACAGAGAGAACAGGACTCATGTCTCTCAGTTCCCTTTCAACCAAAAGCTCATAAGGACACATGCTGTGGGTGAATTTAAAAGACCTTTTTAACCCCGTAACATTCAGGAAATCAAGACAGATGGGTTTTCTTCTCGTATAATCAAATGACATCTCCTGAGAATGTGGCTAGCTAGAGCTCTTGATTGATGTGAAGTGGCCACAAAGCAGTCGTATGTCAAGGCGTGGCAATAGAGAGGTGCAGGAATGAGTCCTAAAACCTGGATATTAGTTAGCATTTTAGCACTCCCTGGTCTGGAAGTCAATGGTTTTCTGAATGTGTTTTTCGTTGTGAGCCTGAAATAAGTTCTGTAGTTAACACAAGCTGAAGAGATTTTAACGTTTTGTTCTACGACATAAAATACATCAGTAAATACCCCACTGGTACATTTTAAAACAGCGGTTGATAACAAGTGTCTAAATGAGACGATTAAACGTCATCATGTCAAACATTAGCCGCCTTTAGCTTAGCGGTGTTGACGTGAAGTCATGTGACCGTGCTGTAGTTCCTTTATAGCCCAACATTAGCCGCCTTTAGCTTAGCAGTGTTGACGTGAAGTCATGTGACCGTGCTGTAGTTCCTTTATAGCCCAACATTAGCCGCTTTAGCTTAGCGGTGGTGACGTGAAGTCATGTGACCGTGCTGTAGTTCCTTATAGCCCAACATTAGCCGCCTTTAGCTTAGCGGTGTTGACGTGAAGTCATGTGACCGTGCTGTAGTTCCTTTATAGCCTAACATTAGCCGCTTTTAGCTTAGCGGTGTTGACGTGAAGTCATGTGACCGTGCTGTAGTTCCTTTATAGCCCAACATTAGCCGCCTTTAGCTTAGCGGTGGTGACGTGAAGTCATGTGACCGTGCTATAGTTCCTTTATAGCCCAACATTAGCCGCCTTTAGCTTAGCGGTGGTGACGTGAAGTCATGTGACCGTGCTGTAGTTCCTTTATAGCCCAACATTAGCCGCCTTTAGCTTAGCGGTGGTCACGTGAAGTCATGTGACCGTGCTGTAGTTCCTTTATAGCCCAACATTAGCCATCTTTAGCTTAGCGGTGGTGACGTGAAGTCATGTGACCGTGCTGTAGTGCCTTTATAGCCCAACATTAGCCACCTTTAGCTTAGCGGTGGTGACGTGAAGTCATGTGACCGTGCTGTAGTTCCTTTATAGCCCAACATTAGCCACCTTTAGCTTAGCGGTGGTCACGTGAAGTCATGTGACCGTGCTGTAGTTCCTTTATAGCCGAATGTTAGCTTTTTACTTCAGCGATCATAAAGTGGAGTTAATATGTGGAGATTATCCTGCTGAACTAAACGTGTAAGCATCATAAACACTAAGATTATTTCCTGCAACAATCCAAAATCACATGGAGAGAACCCATTGGACCAGGGAGATGCTGCCTTCAGGGTCTTTTAACAGAAATACATCATCCCTGCACCTCTGTATTAACCCTAGCAAACACACTTTGTAGTTAATGTCATTTCAAGGAGGACTGACTTTGTGTTCTGCTTGGAAAGATGGAGCGTTGCTACATGGAGTACAGTTTGTAAAATATAAAAAAGGGAAGAGCCAGCAGCTTCTTGCAGGTTCCACGAGTTAGTAAAGAGTCTTGAGTTATTAGCAGCTGAAGAGATTCTTTTCAATGATAGAAAAAGACATAGTGAAGACGCAGCGGATCCTCGGTCGTCTCTGAGCTCCTGCAGAGAGGATCTGTTACTCCACAGCGAAGCCACACGTCTCCTCGATGGCAGTGAGCAGCTTGTCGTACAGTTTGTCGTAAAGCTCGTATGGAGGAATGTCAATCCGGTTAAAACTGGGGAAAAAAGAGGGAACGAAAATATAATAAAATCGATGATGCACCAAGGACACCTTACAATTCCTAAACTATTCTAAGGAAAGAAATAATGACATTAGTAGAAACACAGCAGGTCAGGGTGGATGTCTGCTCACCAGGTGTGGGCTTTGGGCAGGTTGTTGGGGCTGGCATCGATCTGATGGATGGTGAAGAGCCGCGGCCCGGCAGCACCTGAACACACCGTCAGTTAGATTAAACTAATGCACCTTCACACACATCATCTCTATATCAATCAATCAATCACATGTATTAATAAAGCACATTAAAAAACAACCCATGTGACCAAAGTGCAGTACAGAACAACCTTTCATAAAATAAGGCATAGACACTATCAGCGAGATAAGGAGTCAAACGCTAGGGAATAAAAGTATGTTTTCCGCCTGGATTTAAAGCAGTCAATGGAAATAATAAATTATATTGTATATTTAGGGTTTAGATATTAAAAACCCAAAAGTAAGTAGGTGTCCAACATTCCTGTTGTTGATCAGATGAATTGGATTCAGAAAAAAATAAATAATCTGAAACTAAATGGGTGAATATTCAAACTTGAGCCCCGCACACGCACACGCACACACACACACACACACACACACACACACACACACACACACACACACACACACACACACACACACACACACACACCCTTGTCTTTATTACATTCTGGGGGTACCTGACCAGACCATCCCTTTTGGGGTCCACCCTTTCTGAAGGTTGTACAGCACTGTAAAAAATCAGGCAGAATCCTGAAGTGGACTCAAACAAAGATTTCACTTCAAATTATCAATCAGAGAAAGTAGAGGTCACTGACCGGACTATAACCCGTTTCATGGGGTCTTGTCAGGTACAGAGTTACAGGAGGGGTCCATATATACACACTGTCTGGCTTTTAGTCATGTGTGGGCTCCAAAAATACACTGTCTGGTTTAAAACATTAGTGGGGCCACTTAGCACACTATTACTAAACTTACTTTAGGTAACAATGCAACACCTTTGACTGTCAAAGTGAGGGCTATCATGATGCAGAAGGATTTTCACCTTTAGTGTCAACATGTAGCTTCTGTTGTGACACAATTATATTGAATTCTAATGTACTGATAGCATTTTAATTAATATTTAAGCTATTATAGTAATGCTTTTTATTAGTCTATTTAACCACTGTGACACAGGGATGTCTGAACTCGTGAATGAGACTCACAGTACATTTACTGAATTTGCATCAGTTTCCTTCTTTTTAAATAAAGAGGGGTTTGTGTTCTAAGTGTTAATTATTGGAGCCATACAAGTCATGCTTATATGGGTATTCTGCTTAAATAGTCATTGTAATTTCCATTTAAGCAATACAATGTTATTATAGAGCTTTCCAGTAAATACAAGGAGATTGTCGTTATTAGACTTTTAATTATTACATACAATACATTAGAATACATTATTATTTATATATATAAATATATATATATAATAATGTATTTCCAGATGATATTGAAAGAAATGAGGAAATTGAAAGTGTGAAAAGGGACAAGATTAAATTGTGTTAAGAAAAAAACAAGATAATATGAGAAACTAGAAGAGATGATAAGGTAGTTCAGATAAAAGGAAGATTACAAAAAAGAGATGAGATTTAAAAAGCATAGAGGTAAGAGAAGATCAAATAGATAAGGTTGAAGAGGAAATTGTGAATAATTCAGATAAAAGAAAAGGAGGTATTAAGAGGACATCAATGAGGGGTGAAAGAAGAAATAAAGTATGATCTATATATTTGTATAGCGGCTTACATCAAACATTTAACTTTTGCAAGCATTACACTTTACAAAAAAAAGTAATGGTGTCAACAGACATCAATGATCACTTTACATTTTGCTCTTGAGAGCTGTGATCCGATTCTTTATATAAAACTTTATGGCCAACCAATTTCTTTGTTTGAGTGCTTCTCCTTCCATTTTAAGACACTTATCGCAGTCGCTTTTCCGCGGAACGCGACATGTGTTAATGAAAGACATCAGGTGCTTCTCAACAGCTTGGATCTCCGTCTTTTCCCACAGCTTTTTCTTGAAAGGCTGCCGACCTGTATAAAAATGACAAATACATTATTTTGTGTTTTTCTGGAACTGCTATGGAAAAGTTATTTGAGAGAAAAAGTTGATAGAATTTATTTACATATTATGCTACTTGTTGTTATTCATATATGTCTGTCTCCATTTTAGATTCTGTAATAAATCAATATTGATTGGTACAAAACATAATAATAAATAATAATACACATTAAGTAGTTTTACGACATTCTCCCAGAATGTCAGCAATAATTCTGATTCCATTGACCTTAGATATAAAGGGCATGGTGGCAGAAGTTTCAGAGGAGAATATCTCAAAACCTCACACATGAACGTACCAAAACTACTGCATAATCCTGGTGGTAAACTAGGTATACATTTTCTAATGCGTTTGAAATAACCCCTTTACATTGGATTGAAACAAAGAAAAATTGCTAACCAGTAACTGAAAATGCAAGAGAGCAAATAGAAGATGCAAATGTAATGTTATATATTCAAAAGAGTTAACATTATACACAAGCAGATCTAAAATATGTCAGTGTAGAACCATGAAACATTACATCAACCATGGAAGAGCATTCAGTAACAAAGTATGGTCTAAAAAGTTGACCTTTTTGCCTTCTCTCGGTCTGTGGTTGAGCGGCTGGTGGAGGTGTCATAGGGCCCTGTTGCGATGCTTCATCTGTATTGCTCCCATCTCTCATTGATGTTTTATTCTCCATCTGAGTGGATGTGACTTGACCCTCTGAAAACCAGATATACAAAATAATCAATTAGGTGTTGCAAGAAAATTAGATATATCCCGAGCTAAAACTCGAAGATTTGATCCGGCTTTTTTTAATGGGTGTATAATGGCTAAAAACTAAATCTGATCCTTTCTTTACTGTGTTCTCCCTCCTTTTGTCTATCCAAACAAACTTGTATTTCTACGCTGCTTTTATTTACAGCTGAGCTCTACAGTGTGAACTGGTTTGTAATATCAAAGTAATCTTTCATTCATATCACATCAGTAATTTAAGTCTTACAATTTTGTATTTATGACGCAATATTTAATGTATTTTTATGAAGTAGCTCAAAAATCTAATCAAAATTATGGTAATTACAACAATCTGACTTGCCGATACAGCTGATACAAAATGGTACAGTACTAAAGATCAGGATCATATCCCACAAACTTGAATGGGACATAGCATGGTCCCACTTAAAAATAATATTTACCTTGTGAGTCTGACTCACACGCTGTCTCATTGTCGCTGTCCATGTGCACATTCTCTGTAAGTTTGGGGTTAGAGGAAGGAGAATGAAGAATTAATTAGTAAAAGCACAATGCACTTAAATGTAGTCTGACATGCTCCAATAATGCCCTAGAAAAATATGTTTTTATATACAAGTACAATTACTTTGGAAACAGAAATGGTATTTCATGTATGAACATGTAAAAAAAGATTTTACCCTCAGGATCAATGCTGATGTCATCCAGGGTCTTGCCCTGGAATTCTGCCAGGCGTCCTTGCTCCAAGGCCATGAGAAGTTTGCTGATCTTAGCAAGCTGAAGGGTGCCCTCAGGAAGTCTGTAGAATTGCCGATGCACTCTTATGTCATGGCCGAGAAAATCTGCCAACAGATCCAGCTCTGTATTGGTGAGGTTAAGAACCTGAGACAGAGTTCCAGTTTGCTTGCGTAGTTTTGTAGAGGTGAGACTTTCAGGATTCTTTGCACCACAGGCCTTGGCAAAGTATCGAAGGCAATCAGAACCGCGGTAGCAGGTGAAAGCAGATGGTCTCGCAAACAAGTAAATGTTCTCCTTAGGAACCCCACATTCCTGCCGTGTGCCGACGAGCAGATCCAGTGCTTGCTGCATTGCTGGGGTCAAAAGCACAGGGACCTTTCTTCCCCTCTTTCCTCTTATCTCTATCCTCCTGAAGTATTTACATAGTTTCTTTTCTAGTTCTGACAGGGCAATATTTACATCTTCCTGAGGATGTGATGGATTTTGAGACAAATATGCAGATAGGGGCATTTTTGAAACTTCCCCTGCTCTACGTCGGTTAAACAAAATGACTTGTGTCAAAGTGACCTTTGCTAACTGTGACCATGTCTGGGGAGATTTATCTGCAGACAATTTAATGTGAACTTCTTGTTGTTGCACATCTAAATAAGAATGGAGAGTCTGGACATCTTTTGTAAATGGAAGCAACTGAGGAGCATTCCACTTGGATTCCTGAAGGGTTCTCAGTGATGCGGCAGAAATCAGTTCATTCCATCGGGTTTCATATACTCTGCGGAACGTACGAGCATCTTTAGCTGCTGAGTAGTTGCTCTGTACGTTTGCACGGCTTTCAACAAGCATTGACATCTTTTTCAAGCTATGTCCAATTTTAAGGGCAAGACTTGGGCACTTGTATGTATTGGTTTCACTGTCGAAGCCTGCCACATGTTTGACTGCTTGCACAACATACAAGAAATTGATGGGTTTGACATGGTCTTGAATAGTCTTTAAGGGAGTAGTTTTCCTCGAACATACCAGAAGCCTTCCAAGCTCCCTCAGTTTCTGCCGTATGTATTCATGCTTGCCAACATCATATCCAAGCCTGTTATACAGGTGCTCACCATACTCCATGATACATACATCAGATTTGACAGCAATGTAAACATCATCTTGAACCATGTTGTTTAACAGCTTCCAAAACTCTATCTTGACGCCAGGTGGTGGAGGTACTGCAAATGCAGACAGGGCCTGGGCACGGGTTTTGCCAGGTTTTTGTGGAACATCGGGTTTGAACTTGCAGATCTTCATGTGCCGCCAAAGGAGTTTCTTGTTGAACAATCCTTGACAATAAACACAATGGAGGAAATTCTGTGCTTGAGAGTCCTGTTTGGGTTGCTTGCGAGAAACAAGATTTCCAACGCCAGCATTTAATACCTCAACATTGTGGGCGAAGTTGCCTCTGTTTCTTAAATGTTCCAAATGCATTCTTCTTTCTTTAGAACCTTTTGGGAAGGACAAAGCCTGTGCAACGTCAGGCTTATTGTGATGCGCACGCTCCAAATGCCTTGCTATTTTTCCAACTCCTATCTTACAGTACAAACAATATTGCTTTTTGTTGTACATTCTTGACCCATCCTCCTTTTTACAAACGGCAGGTATGCAAGGTGAACGTGAACCTTCAGCTACTTTGTTTTCTGTAAGAAGGGAAGAGGCCCCATCAGGAAGATTTGGTTCAACTTCATGTGTCGAGTTTTCAGATACGGATCCAGTGTCGCCAACTATACTCTGTTTTAACGATTTACCCCCTATGGTTCGTGTTGTGGGACAGGATCCACTGCCTAAACATTGTCTTTTGCGTTTAATAATGGAATTGCTATCTCTTCTTGAGGGGGAGCGTCCTCTCTTGGGCACCTGCTGTGAAGAACTACTGTTCACTTGGGTTGGTAAGAGACATTCATCACTGATGTGAGACAGCTTTTGAAAGTATTGGCGTCCAAGCATGCTGTCTTTTTTGTGGACTATGTCAATAACTTCGCTTGTGTCTGTACCAGAAGAGTCTTCACTCGTTTTAGGAATATATTCCTCTCCACTGTCCGCTGAGCTGGGGTCAAAGAGCTCATCTGAATCAAACTCAATCTGGCTGGTCATCTTAAGAAAAGAAATTATAAATTACTTCACCTATTAAACAATTGCTATTCAGACTTTAAATTACAATGTATTGAAACCACCAGTAACAACATATAAGGATTAGTACATTGATCATCTCTACATAAATGTTGCTTACCTGTATGCTTTTAGTCCTCCTCAGCATTGGGAAAATATCTTTGTCTTCTTTGAGTTCAATGTCAGTACCTGGACTCCATGCCTGGAGTGTCCAAAATAAATGTATGTAGTTGGCATTTGTACCAATAAATCAATAGAAATATATATGATACATAATACATGAATACACGAAAAACTGAATGTATGACAATACCTGAGAGCTATCGTCATGGATGGCAATTCGGGACGGACTCTGAGATTCGTCTGAATCTGTGTAGTTTACAAGGGAAACCATCATCCCATATTTTTTCTTTAAAAGATAGGACTCTGTTTCACCTAAATGCTAAAGAAAAGAAAACATAGTAAAGAATATGCTAACATAACACGCAAACATTGATGTATGTATATGAACTAGCATTAAGAAAACTGAAAACGTTTGATATTTCTTTCATAACATGTACCATTTCATTGAGCAACGTGACATTAGATTTGTGTCAATATAGAGCAAAGCCATTACTTTAGCTTCTGGCTGAATCTATAACAGTGAATGAAATATAAAAAATAAATTATTCAAATGTTGAAGTGCTTTTTCAAATTAATTAACTTATAATCATATGGAAAGAGTAACGGCTGACATTGTTAATATAAGTATACATTTAAAAAAAACATTTAAATGTCTTGATTTAAAAACGTATGAAAAACATTTCAATGATTTATTAGGACTAAAAAATGAATTACAGATAAATATTAAATTATCTTTCTTTTAAATGTTTACTTTATCATCCAATTACCATGGACCCCACAACAACAGGACCCCTGACATGTGTGTGTGAAACTACTCTGCTATAAGCCCTCTGACTGGACCCCATTTAATCACAAAAACCTGACTGTGTTCAGCAGCACACATTCAGAGATACACTGATCTACAGAAAAGCCAATTGAACCATCAAATGCCAATACCAAATATCAATAAAGCAGGACATTTGTAAATACTGAATTATTAGGGAAATGTAGTCAAGGGGAAAATCCATTGAAGACATACCTGTGTGTCGGAGATTGAAGATCTCTGAGGAGCTGGCTCACTCGTACTGGGGATCTCAGCCTCAGAAGACTCGATGGCAGTAGCTGGCTCTCCAACCTGAAGAATAATTCAACATTATTAATATATTGTTTCAATGCAACAACACTAAACGTGAACAGAAAACCTACACACAATGAGTAAGGAGGTATTGGATAATGTTTATGTGACTCATAATCGTTTTTAATATGATATGTTAGGTTGGCTCTGGTATCTGCTATAAATATGTTGCCTCATGTAACTCAAACAGTTAAAAAGAGGTGTAGGTGGAGTCTGGGAGCATGAATTGACCTCTCACCAACAGCTGGTATGAATGGTACAAAGCAAACTGAGCTAACGTTAGAGCACACATGTCAAACATGATGCTTCCCCAAGTTTATGGTCAGAAAAACCAAAAGAAGTGTAGTTGAATGTGGTGATAGTAACACAGTAACGTGGACCCCACAACAACAGGACCCCTGACATGTGTGTGTGAAACTACTCTGCTTTAGTCCCTCTGACTGGACCCCATTTAATCACAAAAACCTGACTGTGTTCAGCAGCACACATTCAGAGATACACTGATCTACAGAAAAGCCAATTGAACCATCAAATGCCAATACCAAATATCAATAAAGCAGGACATTTGTAAATACTGAATTATTAGGGAAATGTAGTCAAGGGGAAAATCCATTGAAGACATACCTGTGTGTCGGAGATTGAAGATCTCTGAGGAGCTGGCTCACTCGTACTGGGGATCTCAGCCTCAGAAGACTCGATGGCAGTAGCTGGCTCTCCAACCTGAAGAATAATTCAACATTATTAATATATTGTTTCAATGCAACAACACTAAACGTGAACAGAAAACCTACACACAATGAGTAAGGAGGTATTGGATAATGTTTATGTGACTCATAATCGTTTTTAATATGATATGTTAAGTTGGCTCTGGTATCTGCTATAAATATGTTGCCTCATGTAACTCAAACAGTTAAAAAGAGGTGTAGGTGGAGTCTGGGAGCATGAATTGACCTCTCACCAACAGCTGGTATGAATGGTACAAAGCAAACTGAGCTAACGTTAGAGCACACATGTCAAACATGATGCTTCACCAAGTTTATGGTCAGAAAAACCAAAAGAAGTGTAGTTGAATGTGGTGATAGTAACACAGTAACGTGGACCCCACAACAACAGGACCCCTGACATGTGTGTGTGAAACTACTCTGCTATAAGCCCTCTGACTGGACCCCATTTAATCACAAAAACCTGACTGTGTTCAGCAGCACACATTCAGAGATACACTGATCTACAGAAAAGCCAATTGAACCATCAAATGCCAATACCAAATATCAATAAAGCAGGACATTTGTAAATACTGAATTATTAGGGAAATGTAGTCAAGGGGAAAATCCATTGAAGACATACCTGTGTGTCGGAGATTGAAGATCTCTGAGGAGCTGGCTCACTCGTACTGGGGATCTCAGCCTCAGAAGACTCGATGGCAGTAGCTGGCTCTCCAACCTGAAGAATAATTCAACATTATTAATATATTGTTTCAATGCAACAACACTAAACGTGAACAGAAAACCTACACACAATGAGTAAGGAGGTATTGGATAATGTTTATGTGACTCATAATCGTTTTTAATATGATATGTTAGGTTGGCTCTGGTATCTGCTATAAATATGTTGCCTCATGTAACTCAAACAGTTAAAAAGAGGTGTAGGTGGAGTCTGGGAGCATGAATTGACCTCTCACCAACAGCTGGTATGAATGGTACAAAGCAAACTGAGCTAACGTTAGAGCACACATGTCAAACATGATGCTTCACCAAGTTTATGGTCAGAAAAACCAAAAGAAGTGTAGTTGAATGTGGTGATAGTAACACAGTAACGTGGACCCCACAACAACAGGACCCCTGACATGTGTGTGTGAAACTACTCTGCTATAAGCCCTCTGACTGGACCCCATTTAATCACAAAAACCTGACTGTGTTCAGCAGCACACATTCAGAGATACACTGATCTACAGAAAAGCCAATTGAACCATCAAATGCCAATACCAAATATCAATAAAGCAGGACATTTGTAAATACTGAATTATTAGGGAAATGTAGTCAAGGGGAAAATCCATTGAAGACATACCTGTGTGTCGGAGATTGAAGATCTCTGAGGAGCTGGCTCACTCGTACTGGGGATCTCAGCCTCAGAAGACTCGATGGCAGTAGCTGGCTCTCCAACCTGAAGAATAATTCAACATTATTAATATATTGTTTCAATGCAACAACACTAAACGTGAACAGAAAACCTACACACAATGAGTAAGGAGGTATTGGATAATGTTTATGTGACTCATAATCGTTTTTAATATGATATGTTAGGTTGGCTCTGGTATCTGCTATAAATATGTTGCCTCATGTAACTCAAACAGTTAAAAAGAGGTGTAGGTGGAGTCTGGGAGCATGAATTGACCTCTCACCAACAGCTGGTATGAATGGTACAAAGCAAACTGAGCTAACGTTAGAGCACACATGTCAAACATGATGCTTCACCAAGTTTATGGTCAGAAAAACCAAAAGAAGTGTAGTTGAATGTGGTGATAGTAACACAGTAACGTGGACCCCACAACAACAGGACCCCTGACATGTGTGTGTGAAACTACTCTGCTATAGTCCCTCTGACTGGACCCCATTTAATCACAAAAACCTGACTGTGTTCAGCAGCACACATTCAGAGATACACTGATCTACAGAAAAGCCAATTGAACCATCAAATGCCAATACCAAATATCAATAAAGCAGGACATTTGTAAATACTGAATTATTAGGGAAATGTAGTCAAGGGGAAAATCCATTGAAGACATACCTGTGTGTCGGAGATTGAAGATCTCTGAGGAGCTGGCTCACTCGTACTGGGGATCTCAGCCTCAGAAGACTCGATGGCAGTAGCTGGCTCTCCAACCTGAAGAATAATTCAACATTATTAATATATTGTTTCAATGCAACAACACTAAACGTGAACAGAAAACCTACACACAATGAGTAAGGAGGTATTGGATAATGTTTATGTGACTCATAATCGTTTTTAATATGATATGTTAGGTTGGCTCTGGTATCTGCTATAAATATGTTGCCTCATGTAACTCAAACAGTTAAAAAGAGGTGTAGGTGGAGTCTGGGAGCATGAATTGACCTCTCACCAACAGCTGGTATGAATGGTACAAAGCAAACTGAGCTAACGTTAGAGCACACATGTCAAACATGATGCTTCACCAAGTTTATGGTCAGAAAAACCAAAAGAAGTGTAGTTGAATGTGGTGATAGTAACACAGTAACGTGGACCCCACAACAACAGGACCCCTGACATGTGTGTGTGAAACTACTCTGCTATAAGTCCCTCTGACTGGACCCCATTTAATCACAAAAACCTGACTGTGTTCAGCAGCACACATTCAGAGATACACTGATCTACAGAAAAGCCAATTGAACCATCAAATGCCAATACCAAATATCAATAAAGCAGGACATTTGTAAATACTGAATTATTAGGGAAATGTAGTCAAGGGGAAAATCCATTGAAGACATACCTGTGTGTCGGAGATTGAAGATCTCTGAGGAGCTGGCTCACTCGTACTGGGGATCTCAGCCTCAGAAGACTCGATGGCAGTAGCTGGCTCTCCAACCTGAAGAATAATTCAACATTATTAATATATTGTTTCAATGCAACAACACTAAACGTGAACAGAAAACCTACACACAATGAGTAAGGAGGTATTGGATAATGTTTATGTGACTCATAATCGTTTTTAATATGATATGTTAGGTTGGCTCTGGTATCTGCTATAAATATGTTGCCTCATGTAACTCAAACAGTTAAAAAGAGGTGTAGGTGGAGTCTGGGAGCATGAATTGACCTCTCACCAACAGCTGGTATGAATGGTACAAAGCAAACTGAGCTAACGTTAGAGCACACATGTCAAACATGATGCTTCACCAAGTTTATGGTCAGAAAAACCAAAAGAAGTGTAGTTGAATGTGGTGATAGTAACACAGTAACGTGGACCCCACAACAACAGGACCCCTGACATGTGTGTGTGAAACTACTCTGCTATAGTCCCTCTGACTGGACCCCATTTAATCACAAAAACCTGACTGTGTTCAGCAGCACACATTCAGAGATACACTGATCTACAGAAAAGCCAATTGAACCATCAAATGCCAATACCAAATATCAATAAAGCAGGACATTTGTAAATACTGAATTATTAGGGAAATGTAGTCAAGGGGAAAATCCATTGAAGACATACCTGTGTGTCGGAGATTGAAGATCTCTGAGGAGCTGGCTCACTCGTACTGGGGATCTCAGCCTCAGAAGACTCGATGGCAGTAGCTGGCTCTCCAACCTGAAGAATAATTCAACATTATTAATATATTGTTTCAATGCAACAACACTAAACGTGAACAGAAAACCTACACACAATGAGTAAGGAGGTATTGGATAATGTTTATGTGACTCATAATCGTTTTTAATATGATATGTTAGGTTGGCTCTGGTATCTGCTATAAATATGTTGCCTCATGTAACTCAAACAGTTAAAAAGAGGTGTAGGTGGAGTCTGGGAGCATGAATTGACCTCTCACCAACAGCTGGTATGAATGGTACAAAGCAAACTGAGCTAACGTTAGAGCACACATGTCAAACATGATGCTTCCCCAAGTTTATGGTCAGAAAAACCAAAAGAAGTGTAGTTGAATGTGGTGATAGTAACACAGTAACGTGGACCCCACAACAACAGGACCCCTGACATGTGTGTGTGAAACTACTCTGCTTTAAGTCCCTCTGACTGGACCCCATTTAATCACAAAAACCTGACTGTGTTCAGCAGCACACATTCAGAGATACACTGATCTACAGAAAAGCCAATTGAACCATCAAATGCCAATACCAAATATCAATAAAGCAGGACATTTGTAAATACTGAATTATTAGGGAAATGTAGTCAAGGGGAAAATCCATTGAAGACATACCTGTGTGTCGGAGATTGAAGATCTCTGAGGAGCTGGCTCACTCGTACTGGGGATCTCAGCCTCAGAAGACTCGATGGCAGTAGCTGGCTCTCCAACCTGAAGAATAATTCAACATTATTAATATATTGTTTCAATGCAACAACACTAAACGTGAACAGAAAACCTACACACAATGAGTAAGGAGGTATTGGATAATGTTTATGTGACTCATAATCGTTTTTAATATGATATGTTAGGTTGGCTCTGGTATCTGCTATAAATATGTTGCCTCATGTAACTCAAACAGTTAAAAAGAGGTGTAGGTGGAGTCTGGGAGCATGAATTGACCTCTCACCAACAGCTGGTATGAATGGTACAAAGCAAACTGAGCTAACGTTAGAGCACACATGTCAAACATGATGCTTCACCAAGTTTATGGTCAGAAAAACCAAAAGAAGTGTAGTTGAATGTGGTGATAGTAACACAGTAACGTGGACCCCACAACAACAGGACCCCTGACATGTGTGTGTGAAACTACTCTGCTTTAGTCCCTCTGACTGGACCCCATTTAATCACAAAAACCTGACTGTGTTCAGCAGCACACATTCAGAGATACACTGATCTACAGAAAAGCCAATTGAACCATCAAATGCCAATACCAAATATCAATAAAGCAGGACATTTGTAAATACTGAATTATTAGGGAAATGTAGTCAAGGGGAAAATCCATTGAAGACATACCTGTGTGTCGGAGATTGAAGATCTCTGAGGAGCTGGCTCACTCGTACTGGGGATCTCAGCCTCAGAAGACTCGATGGCAGTAGCTGGCTCTCCAACCTGAAGAATAATTCAACATTATTATTGATAAGACGGTGCATTTACCTGATCCAAAAATTAGAAGGTAGAAACAACTGTTAGTCTAAATGCGAGGAAAGAGAATAACTCCTAATCTAATATTTACTAACACACCCATAAGAAAATAAATCGTTGTCAAATCTACTTGAAATTTTGCAAATATATTTTTCAAACCTGTTTTCTCCAAGGCCAATCAGTTCCTCCGTAATCGTATATTATCTCTTCTCCAGGATTAATGTCTCGAAGAGCAAAGAGACAGAGGTGTGGCTTGTTCTCTGCCATGACCTTCTTCATTTTGCAGTTTGGATGTTTGTGGTCATCATTGACTAATCTTCCTAGACTGGAATCTTCTTGTGCAGCATCAACACTTAATAAATAAAAATAAACCACGTTTTATGTTCATAAAATAACAACTTGCAACTCAATTTCAAATATGTAAAATTGTATTTAGGACTTACCACCATGTTCTTTCTTGCCAGTAGAAGTCAAACATAAAGACAGCACAGCTGACATGATATATCCTCCTCCTCTTTTGTGATTCTTCAGAATGTATTAATTCCCCTCTGTACTCCACCACAAAGTCTCCTTTTTGGAAATGAGAAGTGGCAAAGACCCCTCGACCTATCCCAATTACAGGTTATTATTAAAATGATTAAATGTACAGTTATTCATCTTCTTGCCATGGTTTTTTATTAAAATCCACCAAAACTAGAGTTTTATATTTATAGTAATAATAGTTATTAGCTCTGGTTTGGTTTATACATTATCCTGGCACACTAGACCAGGCAAACAATTCAGCTTTCCCACCCTTCAATACAACATCTCTCAATAGTATGAGGATGCAATTAATGCAACAGTACTTTAATCAATGAACTCTAAGTACTAGTAAGGTTGTAGGATCTGATAAAACTTTGAACATAAAAACACAAATTGTACTGATGACAAAAAGACATACCTTTAAAAGAGTTGATGTACATCACTTCCAATTTTGCAGTCTTGTCAACTGCCTCGCTTGCATGTTCGATCGCATCCTTGAGGGGGGGTTTCCTGCGTCTCAGTCCCGCCATAGTGTATCCTATAATCAAAAACAATGAAGCGTTAATGTGACCAGACACCACCATAATTATTGCAATTCATTCAAATACTTTAAGTATTAGACAATTACATCTAGTTGATGGATTGAAGTAGGGCTGCTCGATTATGGCAAAAATCATAATCTCGATTATTTGGGTCAATAATTGATATCACCATTATTAAAAACGATTATCCATTTACCTTGAAAACATCAATTTATTGGAGAAAAAAAATGTGAACAGTATGTTCTAACAGTTGATTACCCTGAACTGTAATTACAATTCAACTGAAAAACCAATAAAAAAATAATTTCCAAAAAAATAAATAAAAATATAATCGTTTTATTTCAATTACATTGTTTTCGTAATCGTTGCAAGCCATAATCGTAATTGCGATTAAAATACGATTAATTGAGCAGCCCTAGATTGAAGCAGACTAAGCAGGTGTTTCAATGCTAGCAACGTTAGCTAACGTTAGCTAGCCTGCTAACATGAGGTAGCAATCTCTCCAAAGTGAAATTATTAATATACAAAACCTGTTGCTATAACTGTTTTTTACTGAGTTACTTCATGTTGATTGCTACATTTTAAAGCATGCAAACACATTTTCATAGTCTGAATGTAAGCTACCTGGTTAATGTTCAGTAACATATGTGCCTTTAAAATAATAACTCACCTTTTTAGCTACGATCCCACTGCCAGTGAAGTGCAAAACGAAATTCACGTGGTTCTGTCCTCATATGGAGCGCTTGTTTTAAAGAGTCAGCACATCCTGTAAGGGTGGTCATGCTATCACAATGAGAATTCCTGTCTCCGCCCACCAGGAATGTCCCAATATTAAATCAAGGTGACCCAATCTGACCATTAAAACAAGGCTAATATTAAGAACATTTTTATTTGTATTTTATATATATATATATACAGGGATGTAAACTCATCAGGTATGAAAAAGGTGACAAGTGCAATATCTGAGTAATCTTTTACTCAAGCACAAGATCTGAGCACTCTTAGAACATAATATTTTAGCATTTTGCAAATGTTTAGCTTGTCTATGGCGTTTTCAATGTTAAGTTAGCATTTATGCTAACGGTTAGCTTGTCTAAGCCGATTTCAATGTAAAGTTAGCATGTATGCTAACGTTTAGCTTGTCTATGGCATTTTCAATGTTAAGTTAGCATTTATGCTAACAACAGCTGTAGTCTGTAATCTCTCAAATCTTTTTATATTTGTTATTTACATAATTAATGATTAATGATTCATTGCTTGTTATTGTGACAACACAAGTCAAACTCACCAAAAATGTATATATTTGTGTTTTTAATTCTGTATTTCATTAAAGACACTAAGCTAAGGAGCTAAGTGCTACCAGCTAATCAAACAGCTCAATATGTTGGAAGATGGCTGCTTGCACATGCGCAGTTCAGCAAAGTGTGTGTGGAGAATGGAATGTGTGTGTGGGATGCAGTACCTGCCTTGGCCAGTAGTGGCTGATACTGAGTTACCTCCTGTTAGCACACTTATACACACTAAGTCGGTAAAAGTGATTTTTGGGGACAACCCTGAAAACTTCACAGGGCATAGTTCTGACCTTAATTATAATGAATATGAGGTAAAATTTGTGGGGTCCAGGGTTTTGGACCCCACAAAAAAATTGGACCCCACGGCGTGACTGGGCTGTCTGATGCATGGCCACACAATGTAATAATGACAAACACACACACACACACACACACACACACACACACACACACACACACACACACACACACACACCATGTATACATCACTTCAGGGGACATTACATTGACTTACATGCATTTCCTGGAGACTTATCCTAATCTTAACCATAACCAACACATGCCTAACCCTAACCCTAACCCTAACCAAGTCTTCAACCTAAAATTAATGATTCCCCTCATGGGGACCTCCAATTTGTCCCCATAAGGGAGGCGAGTCCCCACACGTGACTGTGTAAACAGATTTAGGTCCCCACAAGTATAGTAATGCTAGGCCACACACACACACACACACACACACACACACACACACACACACACACACACACACACACACACACTTTTTTTAAATTCACACAACATCCTTAACCCTATGCAATCTGGATTCAGATCAAAGCACAGTACTGAGACTGCCAGTCTGAAAGTCTTAGACGATATTAAGGCTGCTTTGGATAAAAAACATGTTTGTGTTGCATTGTTTATTGACCAAGCCAAAGCATTTGACTCTGTAGATCGTTCTGTCTAATGCTATGTAGGTGTCTCATTTCGGTCATCACGCCATTTGCTGGTTTCAGAGTTATCTAACCGACCGTACTCAATGCGTCTGGTTGGGTAGTACTGTCTCTGAGCCTGTCACCTTGGAGAAGGGAGTTCCACAGGGCTCTATTTTGGGGCCCTTGCTCTTTTTATTATATGTAAACAATATTTGTAATCAGATTCAATTTTCTACCTATCATATGTATGCTGATGACACTATTGTATATTCATGTGCTCCTTCTCTGGATATGGCCGTTTCCAATTAAAGATCTGACTTTATCACGCTGCAGCATGCGCTTCTTGATTCCAAACTGCTATTGAACGGAGGTCGGAGGGCCGTAACAGTGTCCAGTAAATTGACAGGAATCTCATTTGCTAATATAGAAAGCTTATACAAGGACAGAGTTTTAAAATTGGCACACAATATTGTGAGTGACCTGAGACACCCTCTTGCCTCTTACTTTGAACTGTTGCCATCCGGGCGGAGATATCGTCCCCCTCTGTTAAAAAAGTCCCACAAGCCATCAAACTCCTGAATCAATGATGGCTAGGACGCCCTGTTTACCCAGCTGGTCTGGCCCTGTCCCCCCTATTTCGCAAATGAGGGCCTATAGGCCGCTTGTCATGTCTGCCGATATCTGGTTTTCTTATGTCTGTTTGTTTTAATCTGTGTCTATGTTGTTGTCAGTGACGTATCGTATCTTTTTAAATGCCTTTGTGATGTACTGCAACCCATTTTCCCTCGGGGACAAATAAACGAATACTATACTATACTGAACAGTAAGAAAACCAAAGCAATGCTCTTTGCTCCCAAGTCAGCGTCCTCTTGCCTCTGACACCGTCTCTGTTGAGTTTGTCGATAACTACAAATATCTGGGCTTTTGGTTGGACAGTAATCTGAACTTCAAACACCATATTGAAGTTCTAACAAAGAAATTCACTCTTGGCTTCTTTTTCAGACTTAAATGTTGTTTTTCAACTTCATCCCGTAAAAGGTTGGTCTCTGGCTTATTCCTGTCCCAGCTCGACTACGGTGATACCATCTATAGATTTGCCTGTCCCACTGTTTGGGCCAAACTTGACCCACTCTACCATGCTGCACTGCGTTATATATCAAATGCACCCTATAGGACTCATCATTGCAAACTGTACAGCCTAACTGGACTAGCCTCACTTACTATGCGTAGGATGCAGCATTGGTTTTTATTAATGTATAAAGCCATTTTAGGAAAGCTTCCACTGCACATATGTGCCAGATTTGCTCCAGTTTGTGACTCTCACAACCTCAGACCCAGAGCCTGGATACGGGTCCAGGTTCCTGCGGCTGGGAAAAGGAGTCTTTTTTCATTATGGTCCTTGGTCTTGGAACGACCTTCAATCACGCCTCAAACTGACGGCACTTGTCTCAATAGCCTGTTTTAAATTGAAGTTGTCTGAGGTCCTTACCACCAGCTGCTCTTACAGTAATAAGTAGTTCCTTTCTTACTGTCCTAATGTGCTCAATGTAGTGACTGCTTTTTCGTCTTTTGTTTTCTTAGTTATGTTCTCTGTATTGTATATGTTTGTGTTATGTGTAACGTTGCTGCCTTCTTGGCCAGGTCAGCATTGTAAATGAGATGTTATCTCAATGCTTTTTATCTGGTTAAATAAAGGTTAAATAAAAAAACACACACACACACACACACACACACACACACACACACACACACACACACACACACACACACGATAAACAAACATATGCTGAGGTACCGTTAAGCTGCCTTGTATGGTGAATGAGAGTAAAGAACAATTATTATGTATCTAATATATCATTCCATTTACTTGTGTATAGACTCTTCTTGCACTTATTTGTATTTACTTGCACATCTCAAAACATTCTCTGGCACTATTTTATTTCTTTTACAAGGTTCATACACCAATGATTTTCAATGACTTCTCCATGACTTCTCCATGACCTTCACCTAATTTTCCATGACCAAAGAAATTACTCTCTCAGCGGTACCACTGACATTTTTTTATTTTAACATGGTGCGCCTATCTAAAACAAATCCAATATCAGGCTTACTAGCTCCTACAGACTAAAGCCACTGAGGGCGTGATTGTAAAAATCTCTCACCAGCAAAACACCTCGTCAGTTAAATGCCATCTTACGTTTCATTACGATACAGTATGTATTATCATTATAGTATTACTATTTCGGCGATTAGATAAAATATAAATTATATTTGATGCAACTTTGGGAAAAATATTGTTTTCCATAACTTTTCCAGGGCCTGGAATTAGCATTTTGAATTTCCATGACTTCTCCAGGTAGGAACCCTGGTTTTATGTCATATATATATATTCATGTTGCTCTGTTGGAGGAGCCTGTGACTTCAGTTTTGTATCTACACTGTAGCTGCTGTGCACATGATGATAAAGCCTTGAATCTTGAATGGAAATACGGAGTGAGTTAAATGGACACCAGTAACAGGAAAATAAAGGGACTGTGTTCAACTGGAAACTTTGTATCTGACTTTTATTAACCTGGCAAGTTAAGTGTGCGTCGATTAAGTCAAGATAGCGGATCCTCAGTGGCTTAAATCCTTGCCTCTACATTCAGTCAAAAACGGTTTGCCCATTAGTTGTTATCTTTGCACTCACAGGGTTAATTGGCTCCGAGCAAACACCATTAATCAGACCTCAGACATTAGGAAGAGTACACCCTGAGTTAGACATCTCCAAAAAGTTAATCAAAACAACAAACTACATAGATTTAGACACATGGGTGCGGTGGAAAAGCAAACTGAAGTGGATTGCTAGCTGACCTGGGGCCTCATGTATAACGCCGTGCGTAGGATTCTCGTGGGAAGGTTGCTTACGTAGTAGAAATCCATAAATAGGTACAGAAATGTTCCGACATTTTCCGATTCACCAAACATTGCGTACCGGCGAGGAAAGTGCGTACGGCACTTCCTACGCCGGTTTCCCTTTATAAATCACTATCGACTCGAAATGCGGTGCAGCTTTTGCGGGCTTCACGTAACACATTTGCCTATAAATAGTCAAAGAAACGCCCATTCATTCATTTTGACTGACTTTATGAAGAAGATCGCAGGAAATGACGACAGAACAGCTCAAAAAGACATCTCACACCGTGTCAGATTTAGGTTATTTTGGGGAGGTGGAGGTAAATCATATTGTTTGGTGGATGCAGTTTGAACCAGAGCAGCAGCATGGAGGTCGGTCCGAAAAAGGTTCATGACAAAAGAAATACACATAGCCTTCCTCAGGCAGTGTGTTTGTACCGGGGACAGGAGACCCCCCCTGGATGAGAGACTGTAAGAAGTGATCGGGGAATCCCTCCGGAGTGGAGTCATGACGACTGGATCTGAATTATGTTTTCGTATTTGGTGGTTTGTGTCCCAGCTGTCGATCATCTGTGCGCAGCGTCTCCACTGCAGCCTGTGCGTCTCTCTCAAATGAATTCTTCATATCTGATAAATGAGAGGTAACATTTTATTCATGGTATTATTTCCACATATTTCTCTCCATTCTTCCTTCTGCCAACGGTGTCGCAGTTTCTCGTCTCTCCCGTGTTTGTGCTCAGTGCGTACGCATGGGTGAGAGTTTGCGTGGAGGACCGCACGTTTTCCCGTCAAGTTAGTATTTTCTCAATCGCAAACATTGCGTAGAAACTGGCGTACGCCATTTTTTGAGCGTATATCCCTTTATAAACGAGGCCCCTGAACTCATTTCCATGGAAACGGGGTGAAACGTACACCCTGGAGTGAGCCACAAAGGAAGCCCTACACCACCACACCTTTGTATCACATTAACACGTTGCACCTCTTTCAGCTGCAGAGTGCTCTAACTCTGAGGGAACGCTCAAAGACGGCCGTTCACACCGAGACATTTCAGGGGGGTTCCACACGTTGCATAACAAAGCCTGCATGCCGTTTTCAAGATTCAAAGGTTTTATTGTCATATGCTCATAAGCTACAGTGTAGAAATGGCACTGACATTCTTCTGACCTGAGCTCCTCCAACAACGAAACATATATAAGAAGATACAAAATAAAAAGTAGTGCAAGAAGTCTACGAATAGAATATGGTAAATAGTTGTCCTCCAGCCTCCAGGTGTCTGCCCTGCAGAGAGGGCAAGTACACACATCCACTTCAAGTAGAAGTACAGATACTCGTGTTCAACATGTAAGAAGTCAAAGTAAAAAGTCGTCAGAAAAATAAGTAGTGGAGTAAAGTACTGATACCAGAAACATGTACTGAAGTACAGTAACAAAGTATTTGTACTCCACTACTTCCCACCTCTGCTTATGTATTATTTTCTTGCTGTTTAAAAATAGCTTTAAGTGTCTTGTCGTACACAGTGAGTGAGTGTAACCAATAGACATACTTGCCAACTCTCTCAGTGGATGTCTGCTCATCACCTCAAGCTCAACCTTGACAAGACTGAGCTGCTCTTCCTCCCGGGAAAAGATTGTCCCACTCTTGACCTAACAATCAACATCGGCACCTCAGTTGTTTCCCCGACTCAGACTGCAAGGAATCTGGGTGTGACCCTAGATAACAACCTGTCCTTCACTGCAAACATCGCTGCTACAACCCGTTGCTGCAGATTCACGCTTTACAACATCAGGAAGATACGTCCCCAGCTGACCCAGAAAGCGACGCAGGTTCTGGTCCAGGCTCTCGTCATCTCACGCCTAGACTACTGCAACTCCCTCCTGGCTGGTCTACCTGCATGTGCCATCCGACCTCTGCAGCTCATCCCAGAATGCAGCGGCTCGTCTGGTCTTCAACCTTCCTAAATTCTCCCACACCACTCCGCTCCTCCGCTCCCTTCACTGGCTTCCGGTAACTGCTAGAATCCACTTCAAGACACTGGTACTTGCTTACCATGCTGCGAATGGATCTGGCCCTTCCTACATCCAGGACATGGTTAAACCGTACACCCCAGCGCGTGCACTACGCTCTGCATCAGCCAAACGACTCGCTGCGCCCTCGCTGCGAGGGGGGACCCAAGTTCCCATCAGCAAAAACACGTGGGTTTGCTATCCTGGCTCCAAGATGGTGGAATGAGCTCCCCATTGACATCAGGACAGCAGATAGCTTACACACCTTCCGGCGCAGACTGAAAACTCATCTCTTTCGACTCCACTTCGAGCGATAGAACTATTAACAAAGCACTTTTATACTAATAAAGGACTGGCTCACCTAAAGCCAGTTGAGTAGCACTTGAAATGTTTTTGCTCTATGAAACCTGATATACTTTATGATTCTGTTTTCTTCAAGTTTGTATTTTGTTGGTCGAATGCACTTATTGTAAGTCGCTTTGGATAAAAGCGTCAGCTAAATGCAATGTAATGTAATGCCAACCTTGAGACCTCAGAAATCGGGAGCATTTCAAAACCACAGCGGGGGGGGGGGTGCTAGTGGATCACCGGAGCTGTATTAGATTAACATTAACATGTTTATTCTAGTTGTAAGTGCACTGCCTTGCGGCCTGTAGCACCATCCTTGATGGAGCATAAGGAAAGGAGCGAGCAGAGGGTAGAGTTGTCGATTCTTGTTCTGTTTTCTGTGACTATCTTCCTCACCCTCTCAGACTTTCAGTTGCGCGCGCTGCTAAAGAGACGCGCTACCATGGAAACCAAACAATGGTGTAGCTGTATTAAAGTCCGAGTGGAAACAGTCTTGAGTAAATCTGATTTAGTCAGAAATGCGGGAGAAATGTGACTCCGGGAGGAAACCGGGAGAGGGCAATTAAATCGGGACTCTCCTGCGAAAATCGGGAGGGTTGGCAAGTATGAATAGACATGAATCAGAGTCACCAGTGCTATAACTCTGTGAGGCTGTACTTCCAGATCTCAGTGATCTGTGTTTGAGGACATGACGTGTCTTTGGCTCCATTTCCTCTCACATTCCCGAAAGACGTGACATCAGCACAAACTGTACCGTATATTTAACTGTTTCTCAGTTTTCTGCTCTTAGTTTGATTAGTCCGAATCCTGACTCATAACGGCAGCTTTAAAAGTAAATGTGCAACTTCCTCACGGCGGTGCCAAAGTGTGTGAATGGCTGTAAATTGTTAAATGCTGCTCTGAGAGGGTAAAGACTGGACATGTGTGATAGAAATGCACTTCATTTTCCATGTTTTTACAACGTGACATACAAGAATGTTCTAATCTAAAAATAAGATAAGTAGTGGAGTAAAGTACTGATGAATGTACTTAAGTACAGTAAGGTAGTATTTGTACTCTGTTACCTTGCAGGGCCTTGAACCCCTGCAGGGGGACTCTGGAGGACCCCGTGACGAACTGCAGCAGCCGGGCTCTCCGCTCTTCGTCAAACGTCTCCACGGCTTTCCAGAACCACTTCACGATGTTGCTGTCCAGCGTGCAGTGCTTCAGACGCGTGTTGGTCCTCCAGTCAGCGATGTCGATCTTACCCAGACCGCAAACTATCAGCTGCAGGGAGAGGAGAGAAGAGGAAGATTATTATATTAGTATTATTATTATTTATTTATAATTTTTTTAATTACAGAAAATACATATTATTTGCGACCCGACCACGGATAAGCGGGAGAAGATGGATGGATGGATGGACATATTATTTGTATTTATTAATATTTATATTTATTAATAATTATTTGAATGACAGAAAATACATTATTTGTATTTATTTATAATTATTTGAATGACAGAAAATACATATTATTTGTATTTATTTATAATTATTTGAATGACAGAAAATACATATTATTTGTATTTATTAATATTTGTATTTATTAATAATTATTTGAATGACAGAAAATACATATTATTTGTATTTATTTATAATTATTTGAATTACAAAAAATACATATTATTTGTATTTATTAATATTAATATTTATTAATAATTATTTGAATGACAGAAAATACATTATTTGTATTTATTTATAATTATTTGAATGACAGAAAATACGTATTATTTGTATTTATTTATAATTATTTGAATTACAGAAAATACATATTATTTGTATTTGTTAATATTTATATTTATTAATAATTATTTGAAAGACGGAGAATACATATTATTTGTATTTATTTATAATTATTTGAATTACAGAAAATACATATTATTTGTATTTATTTATAATTATTTAAATTACAGAAAATACGTATTATTTGTATTTATTAATATTTGTATTTATTAATAATTATTTGTATTACAGAAAATACATATTATTTGTATTTATTTATAATTATTTGAATGACAGAAAATACATATTATTTGTATTTATTTATAATTATTTGAATTACAGAAAATAGCTCCAACAAGCCGTGTAGGACAGAGAGTGAATACACATACTATACAGAGATGCTGTGAGAAACCAAAGTGAGTTTGGAACATTGAACAATGTAAATGTATTCTACATTTGAATTATGATCAGTAGAAATGGCCATGACATGGGACCTTTAATATAATTGAAGCAATTCATGTCAGTAGATATCTTTTTTATTTACTTATTATTTCTAATTGTTGTCAAGTTATTTTTGTTGTTGTTTTATCTTAACCATTATGTGTGGAAAATCTAAAAAGCCAAAGGTGGAGGAGGAAGAGGAGGAAGAGGAGGAGCCTGTGACCTACATTTTTCATTGACATATCTACACTGTAGCTAATGTGCAAATGACAATAAAAGCCTTGAATCCTTGAATCCTTGAATCCTTGAAGCCTTGAATCCTACCTCGAGCGAAAACTCCTAAATGTCTTTGAAGGTGAATGCAGATGTGTGAGACTTTATGAGGTGGATTGTAACCACAGTACCTCGAGCTCCTTCTCGTCGAAGGCCTTCAGCAGGTGTTGGGGGATGACCTCGTTGAAGCCCTTCTGCAGCGCGAGGAACTGAGCCTCGATGCCTCGCAGGAAGCGCCAGCTGACGTACAGCCTCACGTACTCCTTCTTGGAGTCCTGCGTGACGGGGAGGCTCTTCCCGCTGGGCTTCAGCTCGTGCTGGATCATCTCTCCGTACGCATTGTGCTCCACGCAGAACGTGTGGTCCAGCACCCCCGTGATGTCGTTGTCCCTGAGGAGAGGAGAGATTTTAGATCACTGTGGGACGACAATAGCAAGCTTTTATATCATTACTGTCGGTACAAAGAAAGAGGCCCGTGTGATCAGATAACATTTACTTCATTAATCCTAAATTCAGATTGTTTTTTTCATATGCATGTTCAAAAGGCAATGCACATATTTTAAAGGTCACCTATCATGCTATTTTTAGGCAATAGCATAGCTCTCAGATATATAAAAAACATGTCTATGAAGTGTTTTGCTCAAAACACCAAACATGCTAGCCATGCCTCATATCCCTCTGTTTCACTTCCTGTTTCTAAAGAGCTGATTTGGGGATAAAGCTTAAAGAGGAGGGGTCTGAGCTCATGCGGGACCCGGCAGCTACCGTCTAAACTAAATGCTGCCGTGATGAAACGCCATATCATGGATTATCAAGGATTCTCTCTGAAACAGTTTGGAGCTCAAAGGCTTTCTCTCTTGCCGGTTATACCACAAGGTGAGTTCCTTTTTACTTCCTGCTTCTTCACACACATGCTCTCCAGTACAGGTTAGCTCTGAGTGTTAGCGATGCTAATGTAAACACCGACCATATTACGTCCAAAACAGTCGGGCATTGTTTCTGATAGCAACGTCTCTGATTGGGCCGTGGGTCCACATTTCAGATATTACGTCATATCGGACGCAAATCTGGATCAGCTCCGTTGTTCCCCGTTTTTAGAGATTTGGGTACGGAGGAAGGTTTTATTTTCCCCGACACACCGGGGACACATATTGATGTAACAAAGTATAATTATATTTTAATAATTATTAGTTGCTTTCATTTAATGTTTTGAGCATGTTATAAAAAAAATATATAAATTAAAATAAATATAAGAGAACATTTATACGTATCACAGTATAAAAATAGAGTATCGAAAGAACGTTATAATACACTATAATAGACCAAGCTACTAGCAAAAAATTAAACAAAAGATATTATATACATTATATAAGAGTGTGTATTGATCCATTAAAACTGCAGATGTTATTAAATAATTTTTTTAATTGCACCGATTTTTACTCTACATTTTGATATACTGCATATTTGATTAGTAATCCTTCACGTCCTCGTTGTTCCTTTTTGGTTGATTGACAATATGGCACACCAAAAAGCAGAACTGTGAACATCAATCACCTTCAAATAAAAACATTTAAATAGCCATCTGTCCTTCGCCTCACGACATTTCTCACTGAGGTTAAGGAGAAGTGGTTAGATGAGAAAAAGGATTTGAGTTGTCGACGCGTCCTCTGTTCCCCTCAAGCCTCTCGGGGAATAAAGGCAAACACTGAAGAACTGATACTGATGTAGGATCGCTGAAAGACTCTAGAGGGCGCTGTCCTCAAAGTAGGGGAGAGAGGGATAAACTCAGAACTCATCAGTTTGCAGGAAAGAAAATATCTATATAACTTTATTTAAACATATCTTCTTTACAAGTACAGAAACGTACTTTACTGAGTTTGCAGAGTTGTTATGGGGGATTCAGAAATGTACTTTGAATGTACACCGAAGAGTTAGTACTGTTCAGAGTCAGAATCAGAAACAGGTTTATCACCAGGGAGGTTAACAAAGATGAGGAATTTGACTTGGTGTTGTGGTGTATACATAAACATAAAACACAGGTAAAAACTAATACTATAATATCATAAGAAAATATAGTAAAATATAGCAGTATTTACATTGAATATGGTTGAAATCGTAGAAATAGAATTGGCATAATGAAAAACAAGATATTGTGTACATTGTGTTAATGTCATGCAGAGAGTCTCTGATGTTGCTGAGGTAAAGTGTCAGTGGGGTATTGAGTTATATGTTAATAGAGGTGGGAAGTAGTGGAGTACAAATACTTGTACTTAAGTACATGTTTCTGGAATCAGTACTTTACTCCACTTCTTATTTCTCTGTCGACTTTTTACTTTGACTTCTTACATGTTGAACCCAAATACCTGTACTTTCTACTTCTTACACTTTGAACACAAATACCTGTACTTTCTACTTCTTACATGTTGAACTCAAATACCTGTACTTCTACTTCTACATGTGAACTACCTGTACTTCTACTTCTTACATGTTGAACACAAATACCTGTACTTTCTACTTCTCACATGTTGAACTCCAAATACCTGTACTTTCTACTTCTTCACATGTTGAACACAAATACCTGTACTTTCTACTTCTTACATGTTGAACTCAAATACCTGTACTTTCTACTTCTTACATGTTGAACTCAAGTACCTGTACTTTCTACTTCTTACATGTTGAACTCAAATACCTGTACTTTCTACTTCTTACATGTTGAACTCAAATACCTGTACTTTCTACTTCTTACACTGTTGAACACAAATACCTGTACTTTCTACTTCTTACATGTTGAACTCAAATACCTGTACTTTCTACTTCTACATGTTGAACTCAAATACCTGTACTTTCTACTTCTTACATGTTGAACACAAATACCTGTACTTTCTACTTCTTACATGTTGAACTCAAATACCTGTACTTTCTACTTCTTACATGTTGAACATCAAATACCTGTACTTTCTACTTCTTACACTTTGAACACAAATACCTGTACTTTCTACTTCTCACATGTTGAACATCAAATACCTGTACTTTCTACTTCTTACACTTTGAACACAAATACCTGTACTTTCTACTTCTTACACATGTTGAACATCAATACCTGTACTTTCTACTTCTCACATGTTGAACAGCAAATACCTGTACTTTCTACTTCTTACACTTTGAACACAAATACCTGTACTTTCTACTTCGCAACATGTTTGAACACCAATACCTGTACTTTCTAACTTCTTACATGTTGAACACAAATACCTGTACTTTCTACTTCTTACATTTGAACACAAATACCTGTACTTCTATTCTTACATTTGAACACAAATACCCTGTACTTTCTAACTTCTTACATGTTGAACTACAAATACATGTACTTTCTACTTCTTACATGTTGAACACAAATACCTGTAACTTTCTACTTCTGTACATGTGAACACAAATACCTGTAACTTTCTACTTCTTACATGTTGAACCAAATACCTGTACTTTCTACTTCTACATGTTAACACAAATACCTGTACTTTCTACTTCTCACATGTTGAACTCAAATACCTGTACTTTCTACTTCTTACATGTTGAACACAAATACCTGTACTTTCTACTTCTTACATGTTGAACCAAATACCTGTACTTTCTTTCTACTTTACTTCTTACATGTTGAACCCAAATACCTGTACTTTCTACTTCTTACATGTTGAACTCAAATACCTGTACTTTCTACTTCTTACATGTTGAACCAAATACCGTACTTCTACTTCTATTTAACCCAAATCCTGTACTTCTACTTCTTACATGTTGAACATCAAATACCTGTACTTTCTACTTCTTACATGTTGAACACAAATACCTGTACTTTCTACTTCTTACATGTTGAACCCAAATACCTGTAACTTTCTACTTCTTACATTTGAACATCAAATACCTGTACTTTCTACTTCTTACCATGTTGAACATCAAATACCTGTACTTTCTACTTCTTACATGTTGAACACAAATACCTGTACTTTCTACTTCTTACATGTGAACATCAAATACCTGTACTTTCTACTTCTCACATGTTGAACACAAATACCTGTACTTTCTACTTCTTACATGTTGAACTCAAATACCTGTACTTTCTACTTCTTACATGTTGAACTCAAATACCTGTACTTTCTACTTCTTACATGTTGAACTCAATACCTGTAACTTTCTTCTACTTCTTACATGTTTGAACTCAAATACCTGTACTTTCTACTTCTTACATGTTGAACTCAAATACCTGTACTTTCTACTTCTTACATGTTGAACTCAAAATACCTGTACTTTCTACTTCTTACATGTTGAACTCAAATACCTGTACTTTCTACTTCTTACATGTTGAACTCAAATACCTGTACTTTCTACTTCTTACATGTTGAACTCAAATACCTGTACTTTCTACTTCTTACATGTTGAACTCAAATACCTGTACTTCTACTTCTTACATGTTGAACTCAAATACCTGTACTTTTCTACTTCTTACATGTTGAACACAAATACCTGATACTTTCTACTTCTTACATGTTGAACTCAAATACCTGTACTTTCTACTTCTTACACTGTTGAACTCAAATACCTGTACTTTCTACTTCTTACATGTTTGAACTCAAATACCTGTACTTTCTACTTCTTACATGTTGAACTCAAATACCTGTACTTTCTACTTCTTACATGTTGAACACAAATACCTGTACTTTCTACTTCTTACATGTTGAACTCAAATACCTGTACTTTCTACTTCTTACATGTTGAACTCAAATACCTGTACTTTCTACTTCTTACATGTTGAACACAAATACCTGTACTTTCTACTTCTTACATGTTGAACTCAAATACCTGTACTTTCTACTTCAACATGTTGAACAAATACCTGTACTCTATCACATGTTGAACTCAAATACCTGTACTTTCTACTTCTTCATGTTGAACTCAATACCTGTACTTTCTACTTCTACATGTTGAACTCAAATACCTGTACTTTCTACTTCTTCATGTTGAACTCAATACCTGTACTTTCTACTTCTTACATGTTGAACTCAAATACCTGTACTTTCTACTTCTTACATGTTGAACTAAAATACCTGTACTTTCTACTTCTTACATGTTGAACTCAAATACCTGTACTTTTACTTCTTACATGTTGAACACAAATACCTGTACTTTCTACTTCTTACATGTTGAACTCAAAATACCTGTACTTTCTACTTCTTACATGTTGAACTCAAATTACCTGTACTTTCTACTTCTTACATGTTGAAACTCAAATACCTGTACTTTCTACTTCTTACATGTTGAACTCAAATACCTGTACTTTACTACTTCTTACATGTTGAACTCAATACCTGTACTTTCTACTTCTTCACATGTTGAACACA